AAGAGATTGTATAAATAGAAATAGCCATATTTTTTACTTATCTAGGCTTTATGAATCCATGTATGTAGTTAGTACGTAAGCGCATCCAGGCCTGGTGTTCGATGGACGAGTACTGGTGATGGAAGTTTGGGTTAGGCTGTTACTAGGCCAACAGCTCTTACTGAATGTCCCACCGACTGTCGCTGCTCAACAAGACTTTCTGTTCTTCTTGACCTGCCTGTGGCAGCACTTACTGCTCATGAGACAGACGTGATCTGCTCTACGTTCTCCCACCCTTGCAGGTTTTAAATTCTTCGCATTTTCTGCATATAAATAGCAAACTGTTTCCAGCAGCTGAGTGGGAGCCACCCTGATTGCAACACCTGTATTTAGCTATTTTGAAAGGAAACTGTAAGGATAATTTTGAATATGTTGTTGTTTATTCTTGGAAGGCTTGCATGTCATTTTAGCACCTATGAGCAATGCCCGGTGTAGAGCGCCAAGAGGAAAACCTGTCCATTAACAGGTATGGTGTGCACAGCAGAGACCATGTCCAGCGTTCATGTTTTCTGCCTCCCTTCTGCCCATGACCAACACCAAGAGCTGCAAAACTGATGCCTCTGTATGGACAAAGGCAGTGAAAAACTGTCTGTCAGTTCATTAGAAAAGGGCAGAAGGAAGGGGCATGCTAAAGTCCCCTTTGGCTGTAGCAGAAACCCGGTGAGCAGCAGGAAGGAGTGCCACTTCCAAGTCGAGTCTTTGCTCTGTGAAGGCAGCCTGGTGGATCAGAGAACCACAAGTGAATGCTTCCCTGCATCTGCACTGGTGAAATTAGGAACCAAAGCCTTAAGTAGGTTGGCTTCACAAGCAGCTCCAGCTCTCTCTCCTCTCCTCACCAGGCTGATGCTGCAGTTGTCCCTCACCACAGCAGAGAAGCTGAGGCATATCACAGCCACAGCAGAAACTGTAAAGAGAGTGCAGGAGAGAGACCCTTGAATTCTCTTCCCAGCAGCCTGTCTTTGGCTGGGGGAAAAAAAAAATAAACTTCCTCTTACACAAAAGGGAAAATATCTCAAGCAGGAACTGTACCGTGAGTACTCTGATAGCTCAGCACTACAGCAGGATATATTAAAAGGCAGCGCTTTGTACCAGAACCTAGTGAATGACATAGGAAGGAAAGATCTTAGACAGTTATTGTTATTTTTTCTTCCATGATAGTTTTAGCTGAATCATGAAGGAATTTGAAACATTGCAGGGAGTGCACTAAAAACAGAAGATGAGCTAAAAGGATTTGGCAGTACTTAAATGCATTTCAGCTCTTCCCCAGACTATGATGCAGCCTATAGAAAATGCAAGCACACTTTGCCTGGAGACATCTAGTGCTGCAAATTAGGTGTAAGAGTGAGCTGATGTAGTAATCCTGAAATGCTATACCCAAGTGCTGTCTGAAATATGCCTCTTATACTATTTTAAAAATACTTCTGTTGCTATAGGGCATGTGAAGATTGCTGAGCACCAGCTCCAAATAAGCACAGAGAGCAGGGCTGCAGGGGCAAATATCTCCACATCGCGTCGTCGATGGACCTCTCTCCAAGGTGTAGCGGCCCCATTGAGGATCTGTCCTTGTGTCTTGTCCTGTCCCTGTTGTCTGACTCCTTTCTGAACCTGCCAAGAAGTGCTTCTGTTGGTTTGTTTCTTCATATGACTGTTGAGCTTTTTTCTCAGATACTATTACTAGCAACAACTTTGAGACCTTTTTTCCTTAGACAGCAATGTCCAGTAATCTAGAGCTGAAACACACCTCTATAATCCTTTGAGCATTTAATGTTTTAATATTTTTTCACTATCCGAATGTGTTTTTTCAACTGACTTTATCATTAACACAAGAAATTTTAAGCCTTTGTAATGAGAATTATAGCTCCTGTAATACAGTAACATATGGTGTAATGGTAGCATAATTTAATGCATGAAGTTTTATAGGCAGCTGTAATAGATATTTTATGGAAAATATTTTTTTCATAGAGAAACCAAATATTTAAAATATACTATTTATTAATATATATAATAGCAAAGCAGCTGGAAAACATTTTTCTCATGTTATCTGGGACTGAGAAAACAAAATTTATTTTCTTTCAAGTATGAAAGTTTATCAGAGAAAAGCCACGACTTCAGATCCCTGTGTATGTCCTCCCCCCAGGTGTATCCCTGTGTATATCCTCTATGTCTGAGGCTGTCATTGAAGTAAGTGGCATGTCTGTTCATGAAGGACTTGTGAAATTGGATAATTAGACTGTCCTGAAAACAACTCTCTAATTGCCCTTAGTGAAAGCGGTGTGTGCCTCTCTTACTTTAGTGTCTTAGACTCTTAATTGTGCCAGCAGAACTGCTGCAATTGTGCTCTGGGTCTAATTGTCTGTGGAAGTCTATAAAGCAAATTATGACTTGTCTTTGTGGGAATAGTGAAGGCTTAAAAATGATTGTATGAAACACTGAACATCACTATTCTGTGCATCTCTTTCATTTGTTGTGGTAAATGAAACTGAACACTTCACCTTAGCACTGAAAATATTCAGGACTTGGCCTGAGCGGGCCCAGGGTAACCTGATCTTGGGCCCTGCTTTGAGCAGCAGGTGGGAGCAAGTATCTCCAGAAGTCCCCTCCAAGCAGAACTCTTCTGTGGTTCTACAATTCCAAGTCAATGCCACCTAAACTATCACAATAAATCTAACAGGAAAGTCGCCAGCTACTAGCCGTCAGCTGGAAATCACTATTGTACACAGTAGTTTTGATTTGGATGAGGAGGGAAATTTCAGCCCTCACCGAGAGTTATTTTTGATCACTGAGTCAACTAGGTCTTTAACTTTTAGCGTATCCTCACCTCCTGAGCTTTATCAGGTTCTTCATAAAAGCTAGCTAGTGTGCTTGTCTCTGTTCAGAAATACCCTGGTATTCCAATAATGTGTTAACAGTTTTCACTAGTATCAATCAAAGCCAAACAAATATTCCATCCCTGACTTGCTGATTTATTCTGCCGCGTATGGCCTGTGCGTTGTTCTTAACCGTGATCCCACCTCCTCCGCTGACACAGGTGGGAAAATAGTGACTCTGAATAAACCTGTGATGAACTGTGAAACTCCTTAGTGCTTTCAGTGGCCTGAACAAGAAACACATTTTCAAATTCCTCTGAGTTTTGGTGATGTCCAGCTTCAGCTCTGAATTCAGCTGCTTCTCTGTTCCCTTACTGCAGTCTGACAGAGGCAGACCCAAGTTGTTGCTCCTCTCCATGAAGTTCATCTGTTTGCTCTTCATTCTGGCTGGTTGTGTTTCCCTTCCCTGTTGAAAGAGTTCACAGGCCCTCCAAAAACCTGACCAAACTGCACTTTCTCTCTGCAGGTAGCCTCATCCCAGTTAAGCTGATTCTGTGATGGGCTGGGCCAGTCTGGGTTTTCCTGCTGTACCCCATTTTCTCTTTCTTCCCAGTTGTCGGTGGTGTGTAACAGGCGAGTGGCCCAATGCTCTTTGGCTTAGAGCTAAGCTTTCAGCGTAGCCCTTTGAACTCACTCTAGGGCATTTTCTGTCTAGGGATCCAGTTTTTGGCATCAAGCACACCTTTGTCACAGGAGCTCTGCTGTGCTGCTTGGCAGTGGTCAGGTGCTTGAAGCAAAGAGGTAGGTTAAGTCAGTGGTTGCTGTCTATAATTTCATACACTTTTGAATCGAGGTGAAATAAAAAGTGAAAATCAATTATATTCACCAAAGGGTACTATTGGTATGATTGAGCAAATTCTTTTCCTGGTCTTGAAAGAAGGCACAGATTTTGCACCCCAAAGTAGGATTTGGCCCTCTGCATTTTAGTCATCTAAAAGTGAGGTAACTAGTCTGAGTCATCTTTACTTTTTCTAGGGTTAATGGAGAAAAAATGTCATGTCCGGTAAACACTATATTCCACTTAACTAGGACAGGGTGAAATGCCTTTTGATGTGTCTAGCATGAGGGAGCCCAGACAGCTAGCTTAAATGTGAATGTTCTCAGTGTCTGAAATCACGTGAGATGGAGCCCACCTGAAGAGGCTGGAGTCTGAATCTGCAAACCCAGCCTAAGGTGCAAACCCACTTAGCACACCAGATAAACTTCATGAAAGTATAGGCATCTGTGTAGCATCATCATCAAAAATTTTCCTGGAAGAGGCTTGGAAAAGGATTTGAAAGAGCAAGGGCAATTGTTTGATATGTGAGAAGAGGAGAGCGGTTATGGCACACTGTAACAGAGATGGCATTATGCCATCCCCCCG